CCTCACTCAAGTGGTGAGCCTCAGATCCCAGTGAGACCCATTCTCAGAAATCAAGGTGGATGGCTCCTAAGGAAAGACACCCAAAGTTCACCACTGGCCCTATGAACGCAATAACACATATGTACTCCTCCCTCTCTCTCTCTCTCTCTCTCTCTCTCTCTCTCTCTCTCTCTCTCCACACACACACACACACACACACACACACACACACACAAAGATATTTTAATGACTTCAAAGATAGCCTAAATTTGCCAGGCTCCTTTTTAGCTCTAGAATCAGGTCTACACAGGACAGCAAAGAGAACACCCATAATTTTTGCCAAAGACAAAATAACCCCAAACCACTGTCCTCAGTCTCAAATGGCTGAGAGGCAGAGTCACAGAAGACACCCCTCAGTGCCACTATGGACATACTGTCTCCTCAAGGACAGGGCCAAGGTGAAGGTCAGAGTCACAGCTATTAGAGAAACAAGTCATAAAACACTTCTTCCTTCCTGTACAGCTTCGGAGACAACCTGAACCAGGAAACACTCTCCACCACTGTTTGTTTGCTCCTAAGATTGATTTACTCTTAAATTAAAAGGACCTCTAAGACTTCTAATTTCCACATGGCCTTATTTGAATCTGTGATAATGTGACGACTACATGAGCTCAGATCCAGGAGTTAAGTCCAGGGAGCTGCCTTAATAACTAGCCATCCTGGCAACCAGCATACTTACTGAGCTCTTCGGCCACCTCGTCCAGGCAGATGTCATTATTCACAGCAGGGTTGGGGTACTTAGGGTACCGCGCTAGGAATTTGTGGCACAGCAACCCCAAGCTTTTCTCTTTTCGACTTGGCTGGGATTTCTCAAATTCGTCTCCAGATAAGTGTTCCTACAGAGGAAAAGATAAATAATGTCTCATTCAGAAACCAAGTTTGATGGATCTATTGGGGACATCTGGGCTAGATGACTAATACCTCTTACCCACACACACAGTTTGGAGCACTGCAAGGTTGGGGATGGAATAAAAATGGTCTTAAAGAGAATGCTGGGATGCAGATCACCCACAAGGTCCACAAGTCCCAATGTTGTACTCCAAGGGTACAAACTCCTTCCATGCCTAGCAGGTCAACAGCAGCCTTCCACTGGCTCCTGATTGCTTGACCCTCCATATTTACCTCCCCTCCCCGAGCAAGGCCCCAGCTTACATCCAATTCCTTATAAACCTACGTGCAAACAGTCTCTAGCTTCAGGTAATCCACGGTTGTCTGACAGCCCCCTTTTCTGATCTCGACTTCGGATCTCTGGGCTCACGGCACTGATGAGCATTTTTAGGTTGGCTGTAGGTGTCCATGGTTCTCCTTGGCAAACTTCCTTGGGCTTGGTTGGCGTGGTTAAAGGGCCCAAGTCAGGCTGGATCTCAGCCAATACTACGTTGGCCTTCGAGGACTCTTGCAGGGGGCTTTTCATCAATCCCCTTTTATGTGGCTCAGAAAAGAGGTTTTCCTGGTTTGGAAGGAAGTAACAGCTGAGTTCATTGTAAAACAGAACCTATCAGAGAGCTTTCTGACTAAAATTGGCACAAGCAGGTTAAATTAAGTATATTGACAGCCATTTCCTTTTATGTTTGAGACAAGGTCTTAGGCCCAATCAGTCTGGAACTTACTACATAGCAATAAACTGACCTTGAATTTACAATCCTGCTGCCACAGCCTCTAGAGTACTATGATTAAGGCATGTACCACTATCCCTCCCTGCTACTGTCCATTTTAATAACTAAACTTCCTACTTTTAATTTGGAAGAAACCATGGATCTAAATGTATTCACCTTTGTGATCCAAGAATTTAAATAAATAAATAAATAAATAACTTTAACTACAGGCTTTGATTTTAAATTTTATTTTGAAGTAGGAGAGTTATAAAGGTAGCTTAGAGCTCACACCTTTTCCTTACTAGAACCAATCCCTCTACGTGACCTAAATTCCTAGAAGCAGCCTCTACTCATGCCAAGGAAAGGCCTTCAGGCCCCAAACCATTCTCCACCCAGTGGAGTGGCTGTATACAGTGGTGCTCACGGACACACCACTGACCAGTGACAGAACCAAGCAGCAAAGGTGAGGGTGCCCTTATGGCTATATTTATCAAGGAAGGGCCTCATGCCTACCAGCAAGACTTTTGACCAGAAAAAAAAAAATCTGCTTTCAACATCAACTCTTGAGGCACAGATACACAAAATTAGCCTAGTTCCTGCTTAGGAGACACAGTGGTAAGTTAATAGCAGTTCATGGGCTAGTGAAGACTGGGGCTTTCACTTTGGGGACTGCATTATTCTTTAAAAAGAGTGTACTTGGAAGGCAACAACTCAGAGAACAGAGATGCTTACTGCTCCCTTGGTAACTTTAGGAACATGGCTTGACAATCCTCTATTACATGACCACGAAACTAAGGGCTTATCAAGCACTTTCCGGTGTGTATTTCTGCTGAATCTGCCATTGCTACTTAGCAGAAGAGGTCATACAGGGCTAGCACCTGCATTTTCTCAGTTCAGTATGGTGCCCTCAGGAGGTGCTGACCCCAAGAAAAATTGCCAGGAACAGGATTTAACTAACATCTAAAATCTTGGGGGTAATTTATATATAAATTCACTTTTTTTTTTTAAATAAAGGAACACCAATCGCCACAACCCCACTGTCAAAGTCTTTCATAATTTTACAAAATACTTGTTATAAACAACATTCTGAGGCCTAGGAATTTAAAAGGTGACAGCTTAGAATGTTATCTTACAAAGAAAGCCAATATTAAGTTATGTCCTCTCTAAATTCCAGTGGTTTGAGCAAAGGTTGTAATACAACATATAAGTTATTTTTTTAACTATTAAAAAATACCTTCCCCTGTGTATGTGAAAGCTACACTAAACTATTGAAAGAGAAAGGTTACTTTAGCCCTATTCCTTCAAAAATTCAAATTTCCTTTTGATTTCTGTGACAGTCAACCAAAATGGGACAACATTCATGGCACTATCAAAGGAAAAACCTAAAGCATTACTTAGGATGATACTGCAGCAATGTAGACTGAACTTTAAAAATACCTTTTGGTTCTCCATTTTGTCAATTTCTCATACATTTAGTGTGCCTTTAAAAACGAAAAATCTGAAGTTCCTCCCCAAATTCAAGTGGTTCAAGTAGTCCAATCGATCCTTTTAAAGTTTTTTAATATCCTTAAAGGAAAAAAGGAAAGAGAGACATAAGATCTGCTGAAAATGCATTCACGAACACAAGAGGCCCCGGAAACAAAGAAACGAAAAATAAGAAACCAAGTTTATATTTGCCCCCTCGAGGAAAGACCGCGCCTCTAGGCACACCACGCCAACAGACAGCAGTAAATTCCTCCATCAAACCCATCTCCTGTCACGAGACTTCAAGCAAACACAGAATCCGCAGTGACAGTCCTCTCTCACGTTCAAAGATACCTGTAGCAAGTACCTACCTGTACACTAATCCGGGCCGTGGACGGAGCGTACGAGCCCGGGTACCGACTGAGCACACACACACCGAGCCTGCATCGGGGGAGATGCTGAAGTTTTTCGCCTGACACACACGTGCACAGGCTCAGAAGGAAGGACTTGGGAAATGGCCTGAGAGCAACTCCCCAATTCAGCCTTTGCGCTCTAAACGCACGATGGGGCATTTACAGAGCGCTTTGGGATTTGGACCCCTCTTTTAGAGTTCTTTCAATGTGCGCAGCACTGCAGGTGGAGTGTGGTCTTCCTAGGTGCCTGGATCACCGCGATGCACAGGGGCACGGTAAGTTGCGCTACCAGCCAGGTACAGTCCCCAATAGTCGCCTGCTTCCCGCCGGGCGTTGGCACTGGCTCCTCCT